GGAATATAACTCCTTCGCGGATGAGTAAAACGTGCTTTGTGCGAAGCGCCGACTATGGAATCCATTACTGTAACGAGCAATTCAAACGCGCATGTCACAGCAGATAGTAGATAGTGAAAGTGGACAGCGTGATAAGTAAGAACGTTCTCAGCGACCTCAACAACTAAGACATGAAGCTATTGTAGTTTTATTCAAACAGCAGACTTTAATGAACACCTTTTTTCAGCATATAAGCGTACATCTGTATATGTAGTATAAGGAAGCTTGCGCAAAGAAGCCGATGATAATCCGACGCTCTGTAATGCATGTTCGTGTCAATAGTGGTACAGAGGTGTCATTCAATGCTAACTTCCTTCTTGGCACCACCCGCTGTAAACCGTGAAGTACCACGCAAAGTCATGGCGGCAGAAGTAATCAGAGAATTAAATGAGAAATATTATCAACTGCGGATATGAAGAAAAAACTTGCAAACATCGCATGATTGTTTGTTCTGAGGCATCAGGGCCAAAGATAGACACCAAGATCAATAATATCAGTACAACACGGTCTGTAAATTCATGTGGAAACCAAATGGAACCTCTCTGAAAGCGACTTATACGGGAAAAACGCCGAATGCTATGGTTTAAAACGGGTTGGGCTGCCACTTTGAGGTCAGAAATGAAATTCCTGGAGGACGCAACAGGTTCAAATCGCTATCGCCGAGAAGCGGGCTGCACTGAAGAGATGGCTTGGAAACAAAGAATCTTCAACTCGAATGTGGTAAAAAAACCCCGCAAGGCAATACCGAAACTAGTAGCCAGAGCGAAAGCTGATTCCTTTGACAAGTTCGTAGAAGTGCTGGAATCAAATTTTCAGACGGCAAAAAAAGATATTCTGGCAGACCCTCCGACGCTACGAGACAGAAAGAATGGCAGCCTAAGGGTCCTGAAAGAAAAATCCGGACAACTACTTAATGAGCATGAGGAAATACTTTGATGCAGAGGAGAGTATTTGGAGGAACTTCTTAACCCAGAGCAACCGCAGGAAGACTCGACTGCAGAGCAGCAGGGAACGGATATTACTATCTCTGGAGATTAAATTACAGAAACTGTGAAAAACTTGAAAATTAGAAAGGCTACTGGAATTGATGAAATCCGCCCTGAAATGCTGAAGGCATTAAGCGAACAAGGTATGTGCTGGCTAACACGTGTCTGTCAAACTGCGATGACTGCGGGAAAGACACCAGCGGGCTGGAGAACGGGAATTGTTTTACCTCTGTTCAACAAAGGATACCACAGGGAGAGCTGCAATAAGGATTACATTATTGAGCCTCCCTGGTAAACTGTACGCAAAGGTGCTAGAAAAAAAGGCGCCGCGGAATAACTGCTTCCAAGATACAAAAAAGCAGTGTGGCTTCCGGCCCGGTCGAAGCACCTCTGACCATATATTTGCCCTATGACAGATTGCTAGAAATCGTGGGAGTTCGCCCATCCAGTACGCGTGTTTTGTTGACCTAGAGAAAGCCTATGGCCGGATCCAGCGCAACAATCTGTGGTCATGCCTTCGAGCATACGGAATAGACAGCTGTTACGGGCCATCCAATCACTGTGTTCTGAAGCAGGTGCTGCGTCAGAGTAAACGGCGTTAAATCGAAACCTTGCAACGTTGGAACTGGTCTCCGCCAAGGCTGCGTCCTGTTCCCTATCCTGTTTGTGTTGTACATGGACAGAATAGTCAGGAATGGCCAAAGTGATGAGTGTATCGGTGTAGGAGATGCGCAGATGAGAAAGTTGCTGTCTGCAGACGACCTTGTTTTATTGGCATCTTCTAAAACTGATCTACAGTGCTCCCTAAAAAAGGTCCGCAGCCGAATGCGACGTGACCCTCATGCGCGTGAACGCATCTAAAACGAAAAGCCTAGTGCTTTCTCGTTTTTCTGTCTGTTGCTCTTTTCAGATTAACGGAGAGGCAGTGGAGCAGGCGGAAGTTCAAGTACCTCGTAATTGTATTTACTAGCGATGAAAAATTTGAGCAAGAGATCGACCGGCGAATTGGAGTAGCCAGTGGCGTTCTGCGTGAACTAGCCCGATCCATTGTGAAGTAAGCAGAGCTCAGTTTTGAAACTAAGCCCTCATTGTTCAAGTCGATCTTTATCCCCATACTTATCTACGGTGATGAGTCTTGGACCATGACTGATAAGCTTCGAACTTGGGTACAAGCTGCTGAAATTGGCTTTCTTATACGAGTCGGTGATATTACGCGTCTCGACATGGTTCGCAATACAGACATCCGCGAGAGCCTTTGTGTACAGCCGCTGCTTCTTCAGACTGAGAAGTCGCATCTGCGATGGGCTGGGTACGTATTGCGAATGCTTTCAGAAAGGAAGGCGAAATAGGTAATAATTTCGCAACTAACCTGCCAAAACTCCGAGGATGGCCAAGAACATCCTCGAGGAAGTGCACGGAAGGACCCTAATTCAGATTCGGGCTATGTTCCGAGGAAGCTCAACGGCTGGCACAAGATCGGGAACGTTTGAGATACTGCCCGAGGCATGTAATTGCGAGACCCGAAAGGATAAGCAGCCATCGAAACGGACTGATTGACTGAATTATAATGATGCCTGAGATAAATAATAAGAAAACGTCAGGTGCTGTGACAAAGGATATATTTTTGGTCGTGAGCAGGACTGCTTCAACGAGATGTTTCTTTCTTTGGAAGGGTTGCCACCTAGCAGAATTTAGCTGACCAACAATATATCACGGCAGAATAGAATCTGCTGAACCAAACAGTCTATGAGCAAAATGCTTCTATTTAAAACAAAATTCAATGTGACCAGCTGCTGAACATCTCCATTTCGAATCGATCATCGGCCATTTCATGTGGGCTATTAAGGTGGCTATAACAACATTTGTGACGTTTCATCCTAGCAGTAATGCAAAGGAGGCGGATAGTGATCATGATTCTAATCACAAACGCGCAGCATTTTCATTTCTATCTCCTCGTCCTGAATTTTATACCTCATTTCTTCAGCGAGTGCCCTTCCCCAGCAGAAATAACATTAGGTAGGTAATTCGCACAAGTGATTCTGGTGCCGAAACGAAATGACGGCACCATCAGTAAGCCAGTCAGTG